CATCTTAAGAAAGCCTTCACAATTTTCCAGGACGATAAGTCCTTTGAAGCCGATTTGTAGAATTTGAAATATTGCAACATACGATATTTATATTAGAGCAAACTCTTTGTTTGCTATTTGCCTTTATTCCGTAGAAAGCTAAGATACTGAACAGAAGCATAATTTTAAATGTTTGTTCGGACTTCGGATCAGGGACTCTCAAACAATTTCACTGAGTAAATTTTTGTTTCTAAGTTGGTACATCTGCTAAGAGGCGTATAGTATAAAAAAATAAGTTAAATAAAGATACAAAATATCTATGTTATAATACATTTTATATATATGTATAGTATATTTGAGAATGTAATACTACTAGTACTAATTCAGCTAATTCAAATGCTTAAATAAAAAAAACCTCATAGATAAGTTTAATATTTTATCATATGATTTGTGTATTAATAGATCAGGGCGGATCTGTTTTGAGGTGGATATGAGAGGGGGCAAGCAATTTTTTTCTGGATTACTACCTTCAATACAACTCACATAACAAAAGTGTAGATTCCTAGATCTAGGCAAAAATTAGTTTGCCCCCTCTTACATCTAAGAAGTGGAATATTTCGACAGATCCGCCCCCTGGTATAATTTTAATAACTAAATGGAAACTAAGAAGAAAAGAAACGATTATATTCGAAAGAAGTTCTGTGGACATATATGAAAGTTTGGGAACCTCTGCTCTAAATTATAACAGCTACGGGTGAAGTCATGCCCATGCCATGTTTACGGCACATCAGGCATATTGTCTCTGCCCTGTGCTTTCCAACTCCAGATATTCATTTTTCAGAGTTGAACTTCAGCAAACATCGTTTAGTTTGTCCTTGCCTCTGCATTACCGTTCCGAAATTCTTCAGTGCATTGCTTTTGTTCCTTCGAGGCGGAACTTATGTTTCATGAAAATTTATCTGTGCAACATTCCTCATAAAATTCAAGTAGATACGTGTACATTGCACATATCTTATAGGTAGGTACAATCCCGACTAATGATGTACGAGTAGTCGAGGAAATATAGCACAAAAAGAGCCGAAATCTCCGAAATTTTTCGATCAAAAACCCGAAAAAACCACTGAAACGATTTTCGGCTCGTTTACGCGAATTTTACAGGAAAACTCCCGGAGATGACGTCCATGTCCAGGTTCCGGTGCACCAGGTGTCCGGGACGTGCTCGCCGACGCCAGATTAGGAAACAGCGACCCGAAAAACCTCCGGGTGTCAAGTCTCGTTGCATTTAAGAGTGAAATTCAGGAGAAGCCTCGCAGATGACGTTCACCATCAATCCTAAACTCCAGGTCAGCGATGGAGCAATTTGACCATATTCGGGATCAGCGACCTCGAAAACCCAGCACCCTGATTTCGCCCTGTTCGCTAAATTAAAAAGTCACGTGACTTGAAGCGTGATCTAACAAAACCCCTCCATATCTTTTTAACCGTTGAAAATATAAGTAATTTGTTTGATGTTACTGATGAGAACTAGTAAGTGTGGAACGGTAGTGTTTATTTTATGTATAAACATTAAGCTTTTAGAACAAATGACATTTTTTCTAAAAATTTAATGGTGAAAGATGTTATTTTTGCATTAACATTGGCGCATCCACCAAAACATTCAACAATAAACTAACTTTTTTTACAAAAAAATAATTTCTCAAAGTGAACTTCACGTTCTGGAGACATAAATTTATGTGTTTTTTTCCCTCCTTGCTTTTGAAAACATGTCGAAGGTTTAAAGCATACTCAAAGCGTTGTATATCTGATTATATATGGTTTATGAACTATTTTAATGTGAACAGCCTCAATTACCAGAAAGTTTATTATATCTCTATCAAATATTAATCGAATAAATTTAAGGTGTCCCGTAAAAATGTATGCACAAATAAATTGTGGACTGTGAGTATAAACTGGATATACTGGGGATTTTCATCATAGTAAATGGAAAACTGCTCCATTTTTGCACGATTTTATGGGGCCATATAGTAGAGAACGATGTAAGTGATAGCAGCATAAGCCCGCATAGCGACTAGCTATTGACCACATTCCTAAATATTTCAAGCTCGTAAAGTTCAGCAAATTCTGTCGCATATATTACAGTAAACTTCACTGCGAGTATAATTGAGGTGGTCAACATTTTACCTAATAGAGGAAATACATCTATTCGAAACTTAATCCTAAATTGGACGATGACGATCAATGTCTTTCGAAAATTTATTGATGAAGCGACATACTTTTCAAATTAAATTATTTTTTTTTTAATTTTCACCATAGTTGACGAAATATATTTCTAGTATACTGATAGACTAATTTCGAGACAAAATCTATAACAGTTTTTTCTTTTTTTAATATTAAATTTATTGCAAACAGAAGTTGTTCGTGGTTAAAGTTTGCATTCCATTTACGTTTTTATTAACCAGATTATAAAGTACATATCGGCCCGCTGTACCAGTTATTATTCTGAATAAATATTCTCGCTGTCAAAGAGCCGCCGTTCGCGTTTTAGCGTTTCTAAATTAAAATTTGAGCATCTGAAACTTGTTCAATAAACATTTATACAAATGTATTGTTTTAATTACTGGCCTGAGTGTTATTAATTCCCAGAAGAGTAGTTTGAATTTCTAAAATACGTTCACATTGCAGGGGTATAAGCAAATATTACTGAAGGCTAACTGAAATTAAATGTAAATACAGCGGCGGCAACAGCAGACATTACTACAATCGTTATTACTTTCCTCCATTCGTACAATGGAACAGTTACCTCTGCACTTATTAATTGTTTACTGGGTACGGAGTTGCGCAAAGCCGCTATGCGAGATTTCATGGAAATTTGGTAGTCGGTAGAGCTGATTATTCTCGTCTTGAAAGGAACTTCCTGTGGAAATAACGACATTACGCGGAAGTTGCATAGGAATAATACTCAGAACGCTGCTGGTAATGTCTCAATTTTCTTTGTACGTTTATCATTACAAGAAAATTATTGTCCCTGGTGAATTATTTGGGATTATGCAACTTTCGTGGCTGAAAACATACGTAGGTATTGAATTTTCGAAACCGAGAGAGATGCACTAATGAGATTTGGATATGACATATCCAATAAAATGCGAAACATCGCTTTGATGCTAAAAATGTTGTCACCGACGTTAATTATTGTAAGAAAAAAAAAATTTTCAAAATATTTTTTCGTTCCTAAACTCCAGATTCGAAAACCAGACACTTGAAGGTTTAATTTCCTTTTTTTTTATTCTCTCTACGACCATTCCCGTCCAAGTCACAGCTCTTTGAAAATCACCCAAAAATTTTGGATTTTTTAACGACCTTTAATTTATGTGACGTTTATTTTAAAAGGAGTAAATCATTAAAGATTTTTTATCGCCCAAGACGACTAGCGTAGAACTCCCTTTTAACTTTATTTCTAGTTGCGACGCCAGTGGAAAGCTAAATGGCATCAATTAACTCTGAATGAGATAGGGAAAGTAAAACTGGACTCCCCTAACGTCCATTGACACTAAGTACCTAGATGGAGTCTATCTGTAAACTTTCAGCTTTCCGCTTGCATCCCCTAATGAAAGAAGACATCTAAAGGGTAACATAGGGGTTTTTGTTGCAGTTTAAACTTTCTATGGGTTCCAGGACTCTCGGGGAACTTCTGCTAATAGACTGGGAAACAACTCAATTAAATTAGTTTACATGATCGTCTGCATAATTTAGTTTTAGTGTCTTCCTTTTAAGCTTGCACGTTGTCTGTCTTTCATATTTATCAAAGAATTAAAATCAACGACAAAAGTAGCAGCAACTAGAAGTGGATGTACTGTGGAGGAATTTATTTTCACTGACATGAATTTGATAACTGACTATGAGCTTGCGCAAATATTTCTCTCTGATTTACTGCTACTGTTACCAATAATCTGTTCTTAAATATATCAAACAAAATTGAGAACAAAAGGTACTGAGAATATTTAAATTTTAATTTAAAAAGCTCTAAAGATGTTTATCAGGTCATAGTAGTAATTAATCCTAAAAATATTCCAATTTTAGCCAGTTCTTAAAGTTCTGAATACATTTAGACGAAATTAAAACAGAACTAGGAACAATATTTCTGAAAGCTAGTTGGAGTATGGATCCAACAGACTAGTTGTTTCCCGAAATGTCAGCAGATGTCTCTTGTATATTCAATTTCTACAGGAAGTTTAAAATTCTATTTGAAAAATTGGCAACACTGGAAGGCGATCCAAAGTGTCGACTAAGAACATACTCATTTCCGATACTTTACTATTTTGTTACGTTTATATAACATTTTGTATGCAATTTCACTTCTGAAAACACCACAAAACATATAATTTTTTTAATTTAGTTTTGTATACCACCGTTTAAATATTCTGTGAGCGTTGCACTTAATTAGCTATTAGTTAAAGTAAACCCCATTTTCGACAGGGCATTACCAAATAATTAACACTTATAGAATAACTATAAATTACCAAACAGACTCTAAACTCGCATTAATAGTTGTACATTAATCTTATTGGCGCAAAGGCAGTTCCAGCAACTGCAATTTGTCTAGCACTCGCCTATTCCGTGCCGCCTCGAAAGTTTTGATCGAATTGAATCGAGAAGGAGATATTTGAATTTCAATCACACATGATTCCCCCCGAGCTACGCTGAAATATCACGACACTTATCGCTTTGAGTGTGGGTCTACTTTATTTTTTCATTCATCGGCGTTTGTAAGTGCTCAGTTACTTACGAGATGTCGCTGGTTTAGCGTCGGTCTATTTCTATTCACATGTATTGTATTCATTGATAACATTTTAAAAGGGGGAGAGTAAAATCAGTTTCCCTGATAGGTCATAGGGGTAGCAAGATTAAAAAGGTTAGGAACCGCTGATACTTTAGAAATGAGCTAAATATGTTTTTTATATGAATTCAGCAGAATTCTAGATCACGTTTTGACTTATGTAATAAATAATGCAATTAATACACAGTTTGTGTTTTAAAATACGTGTATTTAGCTTATTATAAATAACCTGAACAAAATATGATTATAATAGTACCAAAAATATAATTGTGGTTACGCCGCGTCTATTTTCTCCAAAATGCAAGTTTTGACATTCCTGAACTCCACCTCCAGCCTCTTGCTTGACGAAGAAACGTGCTCGTATGCGCAATAGGCCAGAGCCAGTCTCTGATGCTCAAATTCCCTCTGGATGTGTAGAGGATTAGCCTTAACTGCGGGCAGGATCCTGTTCACCTCCTGCAGCGTCGACTCCACTATACCAGCGCAGATCTGAGGAGAGGGGTCGGAGCCATGCAGACATCCGTTGAAGTAAGTCATCAGTTCGTCGTATTTCTTGTAAAATTCAACCGTTTGCTTGTTGTATCCAAGACTCATCAGATTCAGACCCAAGGCTCGGGACGGATTGACGCATTCCTCGGTATATTTTTGGTAGAACACCTCAGGGGTGAGTAGGTTTAGGTTTTCCAGACATGTCGTGATGTTTGCGTCTGCCTTGGTGGCGCTGTCTTCTACCTGGCTCAGGCGCGCGTTGAAGTTGTCAACGTTGATCTTCATTTTCCCGTATGTCCTGCTGTTTATGTCGTTGATGTCGTTGTTGTATTGTTGCACGAGGGCTGTGAAGGGGTTGTCGGAGATTAAGCTTACCAATTCCTTCAAAGCGTTACTTGTTATTTCGGCGGTTGTTTCGTTGTAGTCTACAGGATACGCCAACAAAGGCTAAAACACAAATATAATCTTAAACTCTTGTATTTATTGAGAAAAAAATCATAAAAAAATTGAAGACATCCGCAATGTCTATCACTGTCACTATCGCTAGATACATGTTGCTCTTCATCATTACAGAAGAATTTTAATAATATAACAGCGGTACAGGATAAACAGTGATAGACAGCAAAAAATCTGTGGGTGTACGAGATGTCCTTTTCGAACTTAATTTGGTAGTACAAACAAATTCTGATGAAATGTAGATGAGATGTAGCCTATGGGCATAAAGCATTGCTTTTTATTTACTGACAGAGAGTGGCCTACTAATCTGTAGGTACTGTAGAAACATGATTAGTGACGAAATACATTTATTAACTAATATATTGAGTATGTTATTTCCCACAATATTATTAGTTAAAAAATCCTTACTAACTTGATTGGTGTGGGGTAAATTGCAATATTTTTTAATTGAGTATACAATTGTTCATTTTATTTCCTACTAGTTTAGGGAAAAGAAAAATGACAATATTTTAAAAGACATTTAAAAGGAAAATATATAAATTTTAAGTGACTCTTTCACTCTTCTCTAACACAGTGAACACAATGTCTGAACGTAAAAAAAACAGTTTTTTTTCTAATTAACTGGAAAAATCAGAAAGATAGAAGCTAGTATATAAAGGATTGTAGTCGCCATGTTAGCTTATGTAAATTATTTATATAAAAATAATTTTTAAGATGAAGATAAGATTGAGCATGGTACTATATGGAATCTGTTTGTACTGTAGTTTGTTTTTATGTTAAATGACATAGACAAGATTCGAAAAATTCTCGATATATCGATAACTAATCAAGTTAGCCAGGATTGTAACACCAAGCTAAGTTCAAAAAAATAGATATACATACTTTCTAGTTATCACTATTTAGTCTAACTAAAATAGATCCCCCAGTGCAAAACAAAATGTTACATGAAAAATTTTCTTCTAAACTTTATCATAAGTCACAAAAGGTTAAATATTATATCTCAGAATCACGGAACATTAAATTTTTAAAACAATTAGATTTTAAAAACGTCCAAATATGAGGTGTGTCAACATAATATGAAACTTTGATTGATCTTGAATTTATCTAGAAAAAAATAAAATCCCAAATTATTCCTAACGATAATATACTTGCTTTCTATATCTTACAAATATTTCAAGTACCCACAAATTAAAGTAAATCGTACTTACCGTTAAGCTTAAACAAAAACATAACAAAGAGTAGGTGGATTTCATGATTGTTCTATGCAGTAGCTGACTATCAAATAGCAACCGGGTTTATAGTTCGTTATATTTATAAGTATCGTTTATCAGATAAAACATTATGCGGATTAAGTGTATCTAAAGATATAAGAAAATCACATCGACTGTAGATTTCCTAATATTTTCAGGAAATGTCAGTAAAATGATTATTTATTAAATTTTGATACTGTGAACGAGAAACAATGTGAAAGAAGACTTATTTTTACTAGATGAGTAAGAAAATCTTGATTCCATTCTAGTTGCCGGACAAAATATAAAAATTAGGTTCATTTGCAAAATAAAACTACATTATTTGTCATTGTAGCCTATTTGTTGTGCATTTTGATTAGGTTAGTTCAAATAATATGTAACAAAAAAAGGGAAGAACTATTACTAAATGGATGTTATTCCCATATAGCCGACTGTTTTGGTATACATTTACTTAGATAAGGAAATGTTTATTTAAAAGATTTCAGAATTTCCCATTTCAAAAATACGATTGAAGTCGATAAACATAGCAATAAATAATACTTTCTATTAAGACAGGATCAAGGTGCAAGACAGAAATTGTAACATGGTAAATTAACCTCTACATACTATTTTTTTTTACTTTTTTTACGTGTGTAAACACTTAGGCAAATATTTAGGAATAATGCAAATTGTTATTGAAATTACAGTATTTATTTCTATTCATTTTTAACATAAACAGAGAATAGTATCTAATACTTATATGTAAATTTTTTCACAGAACTTTAACACAACACGAGATAAATAACAATTGTACTGCATTTTGAATGAAGTACTTAAAAGTACTTAATCCTCTCTCAAAACCATATAAACAGATATCTACACAGATCATCTTTCAAGGGGAAGCTAATCGGGACATCTGTTTACCAGCTAAACTGATAACGTCTCAAATTCTTCCAGGTAAATAATCGATTACCAATTTCTGTTTGTTTATTCAACATTTGAAGTAAAAAAAAAATAGAAGTTTATCGTGAGGGGTATTAGTCTGTGCTTGAAACTGATTCTATATTTAAAACAATAATATATCAGTAAATTATTATCTCTCTATCTTTGTTTATAAGAAAAATTGTAACATCGAGGATTTATATTAGAAGTTGATTATCCACACTTGTGACTGATAAAGAGATATAAATAAGTAACTTCACAAATTGAGAGCATTCAGAACTTTAACCGCTTTGTCTATAGATTGAAAATGAAGTTGACTACCTTCCTTATACCACTGCTTTGTTTAGAGGTAAGTTAATTATATAATATGTAATACGCATTTGGTGTAAAATCAGTAAAATTAACAGAATTGGATCAATACGGCTTTATAAAAAGGTACTAAGATAATCTAAACATTTTTTCTTTTGTTATAAATTTGAGAATACTTATACTATAATTCAAAATTTGCGTTAAGCTTAACTGGTGTGCCATTTATTATCTAGATAATAAAAATCCATGTATGTGTAGGTAGGTATTCTTAAATATTATACTGTAGTTGTGTGATTTATCCCCTCCCCTGAATTAATCTGCTCATAATTTTGTTGGGGGTTCGTTGACAAATTTCCCTCCTGTAAAATGTTTGTATTTGTAATGGTTTTGGTTTAATTAATTGCTTCTATTAGATTTGAAAAGTAATTTATTGATAACACAAACAAAATAACTTTATAACACTAATATAACTAATATAACACCGTTTTTGTAATACTTACAATTAAATAATTCTACGCAAAACATTTAAATGCACTCTTCTCGATATGCCTAATTCTCTCCTGTTTCATAATTGTTCTTCACTCACCACTCCAGATAAAAAAATCACAGGGATATAAGTTAGGTGAAAATAGTGGCCACTGAATTGCCACCTGCCTGGGTACTGATTTTAAACAACAGTTTTTAATTATTTCAAATTTGAGATGGAAATTCTTAAACTATTACAGATATAAAAATTTTTAACAAACCTTTCAAATCACCAATGTTCTAAACATTCGCTGAAATTTTCAACACCCTATATGTTTTTTTCAGTGTGCACTACTCGTGTCGTCTCAGACTCTCTCAGAACTGGTATATGAGCTAATAACCACGAACGAAAATGAAAAAACTGCCTCCGTCAAAAAATTATCGGAACAGTACGACCAAACAAAAACGGAAATCAACAACCTACTGAACAGAATTACCATTCCTTATATGAATGTAATGTACGAAGACCTTGAAAATTACATTGAAAAACTCAAAACCGACACCACTTCGGCTGGGTACGATCCTACGGATTGCCTTACGGCTACCAAAGAACATCTAGAATCCAACTCTATAACTAAAATTCTAGACAAGGCCTTAGTTGAGATGAGTACGGTATATGAGGAAATAGCCTCTAATATCCATTTCACTGGAACTTATAATCTTCAGGTAATAGCCAATGAGGTTAACACAATTGCAACAGATTTTTCTATATGCGTGAGTTCCGAATATCCCGAATACTGCAACAAAACTTTGTCTACAAAAGTGATAGCTAAACAGGACCAAATACCAGTCTTGTTTAACAAGGAAGTCGAGAGAACCTCGGTTGCCCTGACACAGCTGGTGGTGGAGTACGAGAACAGAATTCAGGACTATCAGCAGGAAGCAGTAGCGGTTACGAAGCCATATCTGGCTCTGTTGGAAAGTTGCATATCTGTAGTTCTGACTAAATAAAGTTAATGTGCGAGTTTAAAAACTTATATCTTTGTATATGTAAAAAAATACACAAATTCCATTTTTGCTGTCTTATTTTTACTTTACTGCAGACATCTTTACATCTTCAAATAGCTATTGATAAAAGATTAGTGAAATGTCACTTTTTTATAGCAGTAGTATAGCTCTTGTTTAAGTTACTGATAAAAATTTACGAAATAAATCTCTTTCTTATGAAATTTTTATGCGATTATTTAGTGGCGAGTTTTTTGTATTTATCTGTTTTTTTCAGTGTGTGATTTTTGGTTAGGGAAAACTATTTTCACAAAAATTAATCCTCGATTGATCCTTTTGGTGCAAGAATGCACAAACTATAGTGACATATTCCACTATTTGATTTTTCGACCACCCGACAGTTATTGTCATTCGTTAAAAAGCCCACAAAATGGATTCTGTGAATATAGACCAGTTACTGAAGGCGAAAATAAGGTAAAAGCTCCCAATTTTTTCGGATAGTGTGGATTTTCCTGAAAATTTGCATACAAGCTCATCTAACCCCCCACTTCAAAAGTTATATTTAATATTTGGGGGTGGAAACTACTCTTGTACGAAAAAAATGAGAAAATCGCAGATTTACGTATTTTAAAGATTCAATTCATGTTCAAATATGTTGGATGAAGTTCCTTTCATGTTTTTTAATATAATTTATGAAATTTAATTACTTTTCAACCCTTAAAATTCTTTAAAAACTACCCTTCCATGGCCAAAAAAATAGAAAAAAAGTTCTTAACAGTTTAAAATATTCTTTTGATGCATTCACAATGTATTACATTTATTTTGTTATTTATTAGAAAGCTTACGACTCATTACAAAGTTGCAACCTTTAAAAACCATCCCTCATAATAAAATAACTAAAAAATATTATTGAGCTTTAGCTTGAGCTCTTTATTAGTTTTCAAATGATCTATGATATCTTGCAACTTTTCAGTCACCCAAAAAACCCTTATGGAAGACCTACCCTCATAAAAAACCCTACCCCTTTTAGAAAAATTATATTTGAGTATGATATAATTATTTTTTTAAATTTTATTGAATTTATTCTTAATATTTTTTTATTAAATTAATATCAAATATACATATACATGTGAACTCGGATACGTGTGTGTATGTATATTATTAAATACTTACTCAAATTAGTTCACAAGTGCTCCAAAATAAAAAATACACAAAGATGATGGTAATTTATCCGCTCCGAAAATTTTACCGAAAAAATGCGATTAATTTTTTTACCATAACTTTTGTAATTTTAAAGTTATAAATTTACTCAAAAAAAAAAACATTTTGTAGGGAATTTAAAGCACTTTAAGTTCTGTGATTTGCAGTTCTTTTGAGCCCTTCGTTTTTTAGATTTGTAAGCTAAAAGGAAAGGCAATCTTCAAGTTTAGTTTTGAACTTCTAATGGTCATAACTCAGTCAAATTTTGTCATACAAAAATTTAAAAAAAGTATTTTTTTTTTCTCGAAAATCAAGACAATCATTTTATTTTGATTGTAACTTCATTAGTTTTCATGCTAACGACATTTACCACTCAATTTAAAGGTCTTTTCAGGAACTTTAATAAGTGTTATATAAGTTTTTTTCGAAATTGACTTCAACTTCTGGGAGTCATAGCTCGGGTTCTATACCACCTACAAAAATTAAAAAAAGCAATCTCTTTGCTATTTAATTACCTTCATTTTTACTTAAGATCATTTTTTTTATAAAACTTGTAGTTTTTGAGATATTCACGAAAAATGGCTCAAAAACATGCATTTTTGGGCTAAAAACGAACATGTTCGCAAATAACTTAAAAAGTATTGACTGTACAAAAAATTCTTATAGAACATTTTTGGTTAGAATTCGTCCCTCTATCGAATCGTACTTATTTTTAATAAAAAAATTCCCACCCCCAGAAGGGGTGGCATCCACCCCTAGGGTAAAAGCACACATCGGCACTATATAACATCTGTTTCTTGGGCTATTTCCTAGCTACAGTTCAAATTTCACGTCAACCCGTTCCATCTGAAAAAATTGGTAGCCAAAATACTTCAGTGACTGGACTAATATGCAGAATATACTATGATATCCAAACGTCCCGTGGTCGCAGTGTCGTAAAGTCAGCTAAAGTCAGTTTTATTCCCGAAAGAAATACCGCAGAATTAGAAAAAGCGAATCACTTGGTCTGGAGCAATTGCCAAGGCAAACTAAGAAAATTAGATACGGTCTGTTTGAGGCTACAACTTCATAAATTGGCAATAAAGGAACTGCTTGTTGGATTCCCGGCAGTTCTATGTTGTAATTTGACTCGACTTAGTTGGAAAACTTTTACTCTTTGAAATAATATCTTCTACTGCGGGAATAACGTCGAATAATGTCGGTTTATTTTAGGTGGAATGTGTATTTATAAACAGTAACAATGTTGATGTAATATTGTGTATTTGGAAACCAAATATCGACCTAGGAATAACATATTACCGTTTGAATCCGAGATTATCCGATTTAATTACGATTTTCAACGTACAATGTTGAATTTTTGGTAGTTCTTGAGACTGAAATAAATTTTAATTAGAGAATTAGAGAATACTTAGACTCTCATCCATTTAAACCATTTCCGAAATATATTCCCGGATTCCATCCCACCTCAAAATAAATGTTAGCGTTCCGTATTTGTCTTTGTAATAAAAGTAAATAACATGCCTTGTTAAGTAAATTCCTCCTTTTCGTCGGACGAATTGGATTTCTTATTAAATAACACACCGTACGTGAGGAAGAAGATTACATCTTCACCTTAAATTGGCCAAACTTTAGAGACTGCTTTAATAGAATTTCGAACTTCTAATTAATTTGCTTTATTCATGAAATATTAGCGCGGATGGGTTTTATAAGTCGTTTATATGGAACACGAGACTTGGGTGTTTGTTCTGGGGGCTTTTAAGTTGCGAAATTGTGCCATCTTATCATAACTATAACAAAACTTCCAAAGTGCTAACCGAAGTAATAATAATATATTGTGTTTAAAGGTTGATTTGTAAACTTTTCCGCTGCTTCCATTCTCTTTATCTCGGAAATGTTTCTAGATATCCAGTTAACTGTTTTTATTATGAACGGAAGCGACAAGATTTATAAAACATCATTAAGAATATACATTTTTTTTGTTAATTTCTTAATTTTACAAGATTTTTGAGACTTTTAAAATAAATTCCTGTAACATCCCATAAGGAACTGTGTGTCGGGGTTTTACCATCGCAGTACATCGTCCGCGACGGCGACGCAGCTAGCTACCTACATAAATTAACGCTGCTGGCGAAAACCATTATATATGGTAAGAACGACCTAAAATGTTAAACCTCTTTGTTTGCGAGCAAATACAAATTTACAATGGCCATAAATTCGCAATTTCCCTGACAGTAATCCTAAATAGTTGCGGGTACAGAGCGAAATTATGCACTCCGCTTGCTCCGAACCCCATAAAGTAACATCACCTGTTAGGGCTCAGGCGAGCCGCCTACTAAGTTTTCTCGATGCACAATTTAACACTAAATATTTCACCTGTTAGTGTAAATTGCGAGGTTTATGCGAGTCGGGAACGTACCGGAGAAAAAAAGAGCAATAACAGGTTTGGGTGCGATACGCGACTTGCCGTTTTTAATATGGCGAATTAATGGCTACGAGCCGGGAAATATTTATATTTCTAGAAGATGCCAGGAGCAAGAAGCAGTAAACTGCTGGTTTTATACAAAAACGCATATGGTAAGATGCGGCCGAATGTACTGGTACTTTTTAAAATATATTAGTCATAATCAAGTGGTATTGCCGCATCGAGAGAAAAAATCCTCCACAGAAAGCAATAACCTCAGTAAGGTTTTTCCCTAATAGGCTATTGATTATATCAGAAAAAAACAGGGTTAAAAGGAACTATGGCGTTCAAGCAATTTTATTGCATGAATCGTTCAAAGGGTCATTTTAGATGAAGGAGTGCTATTAAATTAGAGGGTGGAAATTGGAGATAGGGGTGAAAATGCACCCCTTTCAGTTTTTTAACTGTAGTCAGTTTTTTAACTGTTTGTTTTATAAAAATGTTGTGTAAAATAATAAATAATGGTCTCTTGAGTATTTTCGTGTTTTTTTAATTTATGAGCACCCTGTATATCCAACCTGAGAACTTTTTATAAAGACTAACATTTTTCGATAAAGTCAAAAACAAAAGAGTTTCTCCTCTTGTCAACTCCATCCGTGGACACACTGTATATACATTATTAATAAACTTTATTGTACTTAAATTCTCAAGTTTAACTAAATTAATTTATTAAAAAAGTAAAAAAATCATAAAATCTCATTTTTTACTTTCTTTAAAATTGTTTATTAACGATTTTTTCTATGAGAAATTTAGTTCTCTTTGCTCCGTTTTCGTGCTGTTTAAAAAACTGCAAAAGTGCATTTTCACCCCTATCTTCAATTTCAACTCTCTAATTTAATAGCACCCCGCGTTTTTTTCATTTTTAATGACCCTTCGAACAAGTCATGTGATGAAAATCCTTGAACGTCTTAATTCCTTCCTTTTTTTTTGCAAAAAACTATAATTAAAACGTATTAAGGGTAAACACGACGAAAATCGAAAAATTGGCTAAGTTTGAGCGGCCATATATCAGTCAGTTTTCATCCAAAAATACTTTACAACCTCTTGTTTTGAAAGAAATTTTATCTACTTTTTTCTATGCAGCAATGGCTATACCTATCTTTACTCAAAAAAAAACTAGAGGCAAAAAAGAAAAAAAATTAGAAAATCGAATTATAAGGATATAAATGAGCAATGCTTTTGTTAATTATTTTAATTTAGAAACCTACTTTATACACGAAAATGTGTGGTATGTCTCAGATATATGTCTACATTGTACTTATTATACTTCATTTTTTCCAATAGTTAAAAAGGCCTAACATTAATTCAAGCTTCGTACGTTTTTCGAGAGTATGAAATCATTGAATTTGATGGATTAATTGTTAAAAAGTTAAATCTGAGCCACTACAGCTTAAACAAAACGAATTTGTCA